AGTAGCGCCCAGAGCGGCGCTGCGGGACCAACCGGCAGCACCCCAGCTGCTCTACCACAGGCGTACAGAGAAAAGCCTGCTCTGCTGGGGGGAGGCATACTAGCTGCACCCCCCGCCCCCAGCAGACCAGGGAGATGGGGAGCAAAGCCGGGGAGCACGCGGGCAGCAGACAGCCCAGATGCGCCGTGGCTGTCCCGCTGCCGGCGTCCTCAGAGGCTTTGCTCCCCGTCTCAGCAGACCAGGGAAACGGGCAGCAAACCCCGTTCATAACTGCGGATCGAATCCGCGTAACTCGGGGACTGCCTGTACATTTAAAAAGCAGAGCTGTAGTGGGGAAGGTCCAGGACCCAGCACAAGCTGGGACTCAGCAGTTTCTACCACATTTAAACTGCAGAGCCACAGCAGGGGGCAGCTCCTGGACCCAGAGACAGGAGAGAATACCTCCCATTATCAACTAATCATGTAGGTGATACAAATTGTATTGACTACACAGTTAGCCAATTACCTACTTCTTAACATCCTTATAGAAAACTATAAACTTTTCTATAGCAATACAGGGACAAGACGATAGAATTAAACCAAAATAAAATGTAATTTAAATAACATGAGATGACATACTTTGTACATCAGCTCACAGTAGGGGGACTGAGAGCTGATCACAACATGCTTAAAGCAGCTACATGACAGTTCCAGTTGTTGTGAGAGAGGTGTAGCACTTCTTAAGCATGATAAATGTCCATCCAAGTTTTGTCCACATCTGGCTGCACTAGCAGAATCTATAAATCATCTCACAAGGCACGATATTGAGTGGGACTACATGGGATCCCAAGAGCAAGCATTTGATTTAAGTACTACCACCGTGGTGAGCTACTGACACTCCAATGTGATGCATCAGAGAGGACTGGGTGTAGCTCTTTTGCAGAAGCAATCAGTCACATATGCTAATAGAGTGCTGTCAGAGGCAATACAGGGGTATGCTTAAACAGAAAAAGAGCTTCTGGCTGTGGTATTTGGAGTGGAACAATTGCATCTGTACTCCTAATAGTGCAATGAGGACACAAACCCCTAGACACAATTATGACAAAGCCCCTTTTTAAAAAGTGCTCCAAAGAAATGGCAATGCATGCTGATATGCCTTTAATAACACTAGAAAGCAAAGATCAGATATTGTTTGAATGATGACTGGCATTAGTTGATACCATTAGCTGGGCCCATATATCCAGCATCAGTGGAAAGGGAATCAGGACACTGAATTTATGAACATATTGTGATATCTTCAATTTCAAAAGTGAAGTAGATGGAGACCCAGAGGCTAAGAAAAAGAACACCCACCTACAAGCAATCAAGAGAGCAATACTAGCAGGATGGCCAGAAAACAAGACAAGCAGCACTAGTTTCAGAACCCTATTTTCAAGTTAAAGATGAGCTGAGTATGCAGTATGGAATCCTATTTCAAGGGTAGAGAGCTACTGTTCCCACTGCATTATGTAAGGATGTGGCACACAAGACATACCACTCCCTAGGCTCCAATGTTTGCTCGAATCTGTTCAATGCAGGTGCAGATTTTTCCCATCCGTGTGCAAAATACAATTTCATGCGCACCCAGGCATGTGCAAATGGCCACTCTGCTGGGCAGCCACACAGGCAGGGCTTACGGGGAGCACTGCTGGGCACTGACCACTGGCTCAAGCGTGTTTAATGTCCACTAGCGGATTAATACTCACGCAGCTCTGCTCCCTGAGACAAGGGCAGGACGCCCAGCAGTCATGCAGTAACCCCTCCTCCCGCCAAGAAAGCCAGTTACCACACGAGTCCCCCTCCCCCCATGGGCCAAGGGCGGGGCAGAGCAGTACCTGAGTACAGTGGATTCCTACTCAGCTTATGGGGCGGGGCCTAGCCCCTGACTGACACGAGAGCCATGTCAGGGATTGACCAACGGCCGGCCCCAACGCCAGGGGCGGCATCCCGGGCTGCCTCAGCAGAACACAACCCCAAGGCGCGGGGACGCCCCCGTCTGGCGACGCAGCCCAAGGGCCCTGACAAGCGCAGGCCTCAGCCCATTGGCAGGCGG